GCACCGCATCGCGCGACTCCGTCGACTACACCGCACCCCGCCGCAGCGTTTACCTGCCGGTCATCCGCAGCGCCCTGTACGACTTCCTGCAGGCATTCGATTTCGCCGAGCCCAGCGTCCCCAGCGGCGATCGCGCCTCGACCACCATTGCCCCTCAGGCCCTGTTCCTGCTTAACAGCGATTTGATCATCAATGCCAGCGACCACCTGGCCACCCGATTACTCAGCGCAGCCAACACTTCCGACACCCAAAGAATCAACCGGCTCTACAACCTGGTCCTAGGTCGCCCACCCACCGAACAAGAAACCAACACCGCCCTCGACTTCCTCGCTCAATACAACAAGGCCCTGCAGACAGAACTTCCCGACGAATCAAAACGAACCCACAACACCTGGGCCGGCCTCAGCCGAGCCCTCCTGGCAACCAACGAGTTCGTCTTCGTCGACTAACCATAACTTCATAAGGGTAGCCCAGGTTCTTGAACTTGGGTCGCCAACGGCGACTAGAGGCGCTAGACAAAGTCTCAGTCATTCAGGAACCACAAGAAGCCGGATACGGAATTAAACCGCAATAGTTCGAGGATGCAGAAGAGAGAGAACTAAGAACAAGGCCTCCCGCGGCTACGCCGCACCGGTTCAAGAACCGGTGCCACCCAATAACAACCTCAAAACAACATAAGACCACCATGGCCAACACCAACCCCCGCGTTCACACACGAACTCCCTGGTCGCGTCGCGAAATGCTCAAGCAGTGCGGTGCCGGGTTCGGTTCGCTGGCCCTCTCAGCCCTGTTAGCCGATCAGGCCGCCGCGGAACTTCGCCCCGACGAGCAATCGGCCAACCCTTTAGCTCCCCGATCGCCGCACTTCGCCCCCAAAGCAAAACGCGTCATCTTCCTCTTCATGCACGGTGGCCCGTCGCAAATCGACACGTTCGACCCCAAGCCGCTGCTCACCCGCGACCATGGCAAGCCGCTTCCGTTCGACAAGCCCCGCGTGGTCTCCAGCGAAACCGGTAACCTGCTCCAGTCACCATGGAAGTTCAAACAATACGGCGAAAGCGGAATCCCAGTCAGCGAGCTATTCCCTCACGTGGCCGAGTGTGTTGACGACCTCTGCGTTATCAACTCGATGCACTGCTCGAATTCGCGACATGGCGGGGCCCTGCTCGAACTGCACACCGGCAGCGACACATTCGTTCGCCCCAGCATGGGTTCGTGGATCACCTATGGCCTGGGCACCGAAAACCAGAACCTGCCTGGGTTCATCACCATCTGCCCCACACTCACGCACGGGGGCACCAACAACTTCAGCTCTTCGTTCCTGCCGGCCGTCTATCACGGCACACCCCTGGGCAACGCCAGCATTCCCGCGACCGATGCCCAAATCGCCTGCATCGAAAACGAACTAGTCCCCCGCAACCTGCAGCGGATGGAACTCGACCTGGCCCAGCGACTCAACCGTGGCCAACTCAAACACGTCGGCCCCGACGACGCTCTGGAAAGCCGCATCAGTTCCTTCGAACTTGCCTTCCGAATGCAGGGTGCCGCGCCCGAGATGCAGGACATCTCGCAAGAAACCGAAGCCACCCGTCAGCTCTACGGCATCGACGAAAAAACCACCGCCGACTTCGGCCGGCAATGCCTCATGGCCCGACGATTCGCCGAACGTGGCGTCCGCTTCGTGCAGGTTTCGCACAGCTATAAATGGGATCAGCACAGCGATCTCAAGAAATCCCATGAGCGGAACTCACTGGAAGTCGACAAACCCATCGCCGGGCTGCTCCGCGACTTGAAAGCCCGTGGGCTGCTCGAAGACACGCTTGTGCTGTGGGGCGGAGAGTTCGGCCGCACCCCAGTGGCTCAAGGTGGCGACGGACGCGACCACAACCCGCACGGTTTCACCATGTGGCTGGCCGGCGGCGGTGTGAAGCCCGGCTTCCGCTTCGGGGCGACCGATGATTACGGCTATTACGCCGTCGAGAACAAGGTGCACTTCCACGACCTGCACGCCACGATGCTGCACCTACTAGGGCTCGATCACCTCAAGCTCACCTACCGCCACGCCGGCCGCGACTTCCGCCTCACCGACGTCCACGGCCGCATCGTCAACGAGATCATCGCCTAAGGCCTCTCAATGCCTTTTGGTGGTCTTCAAACGTGGGTGCCACTGCTGGCTCGCCCAGCAGTGCCCATCGCCGCCACCTCACGCGGGGCCTCACCAGCTCGAATTCGCCCCCAATCGTGGCAACAGCTCGGTATTCAACTTAGACTAAGACCACAACCCTCCTAGCTAAGTCTCGCCTCGTGCAATGGGAACCCGCCATGACTTCGTTGCGTGCGAATATCCGTCCAGCCTTGAATCGTCTGCTCGTCACCGCCTGCGTACTTCTCACGGCCACAAGCATAAGCATCGCCGCCACGCCACGGGTCTTGCCAGAAGGCACACTCCCCGACGACAAACGCCTAGAGCCCCTCAACACTCTCAACAGCTACTTCCCTTTCGAAGTCCCAGCCTCCCCAGAGGCCTGGCAAACCCGCGCCGAAGAACTTCGTCGTCAGTTGCTCGTTTCGCAGGGTCTATGGCCCATGCCCGAGCGAACCCCGCCCCGCGCGGTAATCCACGGTCTCGTCGATCGCGATGAGTACACCGTGGAGAAGGTCTACTTCGAAAGCTATCCCGGCTTCTATGTCACCGGCAACTTGTATCGCCCCAAAGACAACGTCGAGAAACACCCGGCCGTACTCTGTCCCCATGGGCACTGGCAAGACGGTCGCAAACACGACCACGGCTTGAAGAAGGTCAAAGAGGAAATCGTCAACGGGGCCGAGCGGTTCCTCGACGGCGGGCGACATCCCATCCAGTCCCGTTGCGTGCAACTCGCCCGCATGGGCTGCGTCGTATTCAACTACGACATGGTGGGCTACGCCGATAGCATTCAGCTCCCACACGGCGCCGGCGTTCGCGCCGACATGAACGATCCACAGAACTGGGGCTTTTTCAGCCCACAGGCCGAGTCGCGATTGCAAACCATCATGGGCCTGCAAACCTACGATTCGATTCGAGCCCTCGACTGGCTGAGCGAACTGCCCGATGTCGACCCCAACCGCATCGCCGTCACCGGTGCCAGCGGGGGTGGAACGCAGACCTTTCTATTGTGTGCTCTCGACCCTCGCCCCGTGGTCGCCTTCCCCGCGGTGATGGTCTCCACCGCCATGCAGGGTGGCTGCACCTGCGAGAACGCCAACTACCTCCGCGTCGGCACCGGCAATGTTGAAATCGCGGCCCTCTTCGCTCCCCGCCCCCTGGGCATGTCGGCCGCCGACGACTGGACCCGCGAGCTGGCCACCAAGGGCCTGCCCGAACTCAAGCAGCTCTACACCATGCTCGGCGTGCCCGACAACGTCCTCGGTCGCCCCTTCCTGCACTTCGGCCACAACTACAACAACGTCAGTCGGGCCGTAATGTACGACTGGCTCAACCAACACCTCCAACTTGGCTTCGAACCCCCCATCATCGAGCGCGACTACGAGCCGCTCTCGCCCGAAGAAATCACCGTCTGGAACGACGAACACCCCCGGCCCGAAAGTGGGGCCGACTTTGAACGCAAATTCATACAACAGTTGACCAACATCGCCCAGCAACAGATGGACGCCATCGAGCCGACCGACGAGGCATCATTAGAAGAATACCGCCGCGTGGTGGGCGGTGCCCTGGAAGTATTGCTCGGCGGCGGAATGCCGGCATCGGAAGAGTTCGAATTCGACAACCGCTTCGAAGAGAGTCGTGGCGATTACGTTGAGTACCGAGGACTCGTCCGCGATCCGGCCGCTGGTGTGGCACTCCCTAGTGCCATCTTCTACCCCAACGACTGGAACCGCGAGGTGGCCATCTGGATTTCCCCCGAAGGCAAAGCCGGGCTCTACGACACCAGCGGCGACTTACGCCCAGGCGTGAAAAGCCTCATCGAAGCAGGCACCGCCGTGATCGGGGCCGACCTGTTGTATCAAGGCGAATTCCTCGCCGATGGCAAGCCTCTCGAACACGCCCCCATGGTCGGCGAGGCGAACAAGGGACGCGACGCCTACTCCGGCTACACCTACGGCTACAACCTACCGCTAGTCAGCCAACGAGCGAACGATGTCCTCACGCTGCTGGCCTTTGCCAAGAACCACGATGAAGCTCCCGAAGCCGTGCACCTGGTGGGGCTCGACGGGGCAGGGCATTGGGTCGCCCTGGCTGCGGCCGTCGCCGGTGATGCGGTCGCCAGTGCGGCGATCGACACCGCAGGGTTTCGCTTCGCCAACGTGCCCCATTTCGACGATGTCGACTTCCTGCCCGGGGGAGCCAAATACGGCGATCTACCAGGGCTAATGGCCCTCATCGCACCCAAACCCGTGTGGCTGGCCGGCGAAGATAAGGCAACGCCCGCCATAGTAGAAGCCGCTTATCAGGCCGCCGGAGCAGAAGACGCCCTGACGCAATTCGAGGGCGATTCCGATGCCCAGGAGCAGGCGGCCATTGAATGGTTGACTCGTTGACCGCCCGCACCAGGCAGGATGATTCAAGCGAAAAGAAGTTACTGCCCGTTCCGGTGGGGCAACCAATCGCAGTAAGACTTACCGGCGAAATTCGCCACGGCGAATGCGTAGCGAGCGCGGCGTGGAGTAGTGTCTCCAGCGGTACTCGAGATCCTCGAGTTGCTCTTCAACCCACAGCGAGAGCTTGGGGTATTCGTCTTCGACCAAAAGGGCCAACCGAGCTTGTTCTTCGGTCGGTTCTTCCGGGGGTTGGTTTGTGCCGTTCTCTGGCCCGTTCATTGTGCGTCTCCTACATATAAGACGTACTAAATTATAACCTTCTTACGTAGGACACCTATTAACTGTTCGGGTTCGCGGCTCCGATATTGCTCCGCGCAGAACGATTGTGCCGCGAATCCCGACCGATTCGGTACAAAATACCGAAAAAAGGCCCTAAAAGACGTGGTTCTGAGAACGGCCTGCTACGTAGTGGTCGTAACAATCGGATCGCCCGACTGCCACTTCTGGCCATCGCGCACCACTCGATGGTACAGCGTGTCGCGCTCGACCGGGTCGCGGCCGGCTTCCACAATTAGCCGGCAGATATCTTCGACGCTCATCACCTCAGGAGTCTTCGCCCCGGCGTCGTGATAAATCAACTCATGCCGCACGGTACCGTCCAGGTCGTCGGCCCCATACGAAAGCGCCAACTGTGCGGTGCCAATGCCCAGCATGATCCAGTAGGCCTTGATGTGGTCGAAGTTATCAAGCATCAATCGCGAGATGGCCATCGTCCGCAGGTCGAGCGCCGAACTTGGTTTCTTGATGTGGTCCAAGTTCGTATTCTCAGGGTGGAACGCTAAGGGTATGAAGGTCTGAAAACCCCCGGTTTCGTCCTGCAATTCTCGCAGACGAACCAGGTGATCGATCCGATGCCACGGCTCTTCGATATGCCCATACAGCATGGTCGCGTTCGATCGCAGCCCCATTTGATGGGCCGTACGATGAATGTCGAACCACTCCTCGGCGTCGGCCTTATGTTCGCAAATCTTGTCGCGAACCTCCGGATGAAAGATCTCCGCACCACCGCCGGGCAAGCTGCCTAGCCCCGCTTCCACCAATTGCTCGAGCACTTCGCGGTACGAACTCTTCGTCAGCTCGCGGAACCAGTTGATTTCCACCGGCGTCCAGGCCTTCAAGTGCAAGTCGGGGTAGGCCTCGTGCAAGATGCGGATGACGTTCAGGTACCAATCAAATTTCTTCAGGTGGTGTAGCCCACCGACGATGTGCATCTCGGTGCAGCCGTTTTCCACCGCCTCACGGCCCCGCTCCAGAATCTGCTCGTCGGGAATCACATACGCCCGATCTTCACGCAGGTCGGCCCGAAACGCACAAAACGTGCAGCGGTAGATGCAGACGTTCGTCGGATTCAAGTGCGTATTGATGTTGTAGTAGGCGTGGTTACCGTTCTTCCGCTCGCGAACCACGTTGGCTAACGCCCCGATGTCATTCAGGGGAACTTCCGGCTGATACAAGTACACGCCTTCGTCGTACGAGAGACGCTCGCCGGCCAGAACCTTATCGCGAATCGAGTCCAGCTTCGGATGGGTGGCTTGAATCATCGTCCTACGTCTTCCGTGTTCTCGTGAGAGTTCGTCGAATAAACCAGAATAACAACTGGCCCTAGGTCAGCAAATCGGTCGTAATTAGCAAGAACAGGCCGATGCTGATCACCACGTTGATATTGAAAAATGCCGCATTCACCCGCGATAAGTCGTCCGGCCGCACGAGCCAGTGTTCGTAAATCAACAACACCGCCACCACAGCGATGCCCACGTAATAAACCACACCCAGGGGGGCGAACACCCAGGGCAGGGCGATCAAGGCCAGCAACATTCCCGCATGACAGGCGGCCGCCACCCGTAGTGCCCCCGGAATGCCCAACTTCGCCGGAACACTGTGCAGCCCCTCGTCACGATCGAATTCGAAATCCTGACACGCGTAGATAATGTCGAACCCGGCCACCCAGAGCATCACCGCCACGCCCAACACCACCGGCGGCCAATCCACGGTTCCACGAATGGCAATCCAGGCCGCAATGGGGGCCATCATCAGCGCGGCCCCCAGCCAGAAGTGCGCCAGCGAGGTGAACCGCTTCGCCCAGCTATAGCCGATCAAAAACGCCAACACCGGCACCGACAGAATCAGCGGCCACCGATTCGGCAAGAACAGCGCCGTGGAAGCGATGAACGCCACCCCCGACACGACAGCAAACGCCGTCACCGTCTGCAGGCTGAGGATTCCCGCCGGAAGATGCCGAATCGCCGTCCGCGGATTTCGGGCGTCCACATCCCGATCCAGAATCCGATTCAACGCCATCGCACAACTACGGGCCGTCGCCATGCAGAGCAAGATGCCCAACAGCTCCCGCCAACTGAAACTCACCGGCGGATCGGCCTGAGCCCCATCAATCCAAGCCATCACCGCCGCGCACAACGCAAACGGCAACGCAAACAGCGTATGGCTGAACCGAATCATCTCCAGCAGATGACGAATCTTTTCGAACAAGTCTGAAACCCTAATCCATACTTTTGCTTTTACTGGGTACCACCGGATCTCGATCCGGTGCGGCGAAGCCGCCAGAGGGTTTAAGCTGAAGCCTGAGGCTCTCCAAGCATGCCCCAACCCTCTCCATAACCTCTTGTCGCCTGCGGCGACCCAGCTTCAAGAAGCTGGGCCACCCCTTTGAAATCAACTGTCTCTTCAGGTCCTACTCCCCCCAACGCTGAATCAAGTCGTTATCCACCCCCAACTGATCACAGATCCGCGACACCACGAAATCGACCAAGTCCATCACCGAGTTCACCCCGTGGTACCAGCCCGGGCTTGCCGGCAGCACCACGGCCCCGGCTTCGGAACAAAGGCACAGGTTCCGCAGTTGGATGCTCGACATCGGTGCCTCGCGAGGAACAATCACCAGCTTACGTCGCTCCTTCAGTTGCACGTCGGCCGCCCGATGCACCAGGTTTTGCGACGAAGCATGGGCCACCGCACTCACTGTGGCTCCCGAGCAAGGACAAATCACCATCCCCTCGTTGCGGAACGTCCCGCTGGCGATGGGGGCCATGTAATCGCTGAAGTGGTAGTAATGCACTTGCCCGGCAGTTCGCCCCTGGGGCCGAACTGCACGAACCGACGGGGCACCACCAGGGCCGTCTTCCCACACACTTCGCTCAGCATCTTCCTTGGCAAACGCTGTCCCCTCGAGTGTCATCAGCTTGGGGTCGAAGTTCTCCAGGTCGACCTCGATTCCTAATTCCTGTTTCAACACCTCGTACCCCGAGCGGCTGATCGTCGTATGTACGTCGTAACCGGAAGCCAGCAACGTGTTCAGCAGCCGCACGGTGTAAACCGCTCCGCTGCCGCCGGTGATGCCAAGAATGACGCTGGGATTCATTTGACCCCCACATACAGCGTCGCCACACCCAAAGTGAATGGATAGTACTTCACCTTTCGCAGCCCTACGGCCCGCATACGCTCGGCGAATTCTTCACCCGATGGAAACTCACCCACGCTCGCCGGCAGGTAGCTGTAGGCCTCTTGCCGGTTCCGGGCCAGGGCCTGGCCGATCCGCGGCAGCACGTTGCGAAAGTACCAACTATAAATTCCCTTGAACGGCTGCCAGCCCGGCATCGAGAACTCCAACACCGCCACCCGTCCCCCAGGCCGACACACCCGGGCCATCTCTCGCAGCCCGCCGTCGGTGTCTTCGACGTTCCGCAACCCAAACGCCACCGAGACAATTTGAAACATGTCGTCGGGGAAGGGGAGTCGCCGCGCGTCGGCCTCGATGAAGTTCAACCGCCCGTTCGCGCCGGCTTTGCGTCCCTTGTCGGCGCCAATCACCAGCATTGGATGACAAAAGTCTGCCCCCACAACCGGCGTCTCGTCGCTACTGGCCCGATAGTACGCCAGGGCCAGGTCACCGGTGCCGGTGCACATGTCGAGAATCGGGGCCGACTCCTCCGGCGGCACCAACCGCACCGTGCGCCACCGCCAGTAGCGGTCGACGTTCATCGACAACAGGTGATTCAAAAAGTCGTAGCGGCCGGCAATCTCGCCGAACATCGTCCGCACACGATCCGCCGACTTATCAACCGCCATCACTGTCCCTCGCCCACGCGGGCAGAACGTACTCAAGAATCAAATCTGCCGCCTTGCAACTGCAACCGGGTAGCCCAGGTTCTCGAACCTGGGTCGCCGCAGGCGACAAGAGGCCCTGGGTTCGGCTCAGAAGTTTCCGGAGAACACTTCCCAGCCCACCACCAACCACAATGGATAAACCGCAACCAGTCTGAGATTCGCAACGAACGACGGTATTTCCCGGAGTTCGACCCCGAAAACCTCACCCAGCGAGGATTTTAGCCACTGAGCGCCGCCTCGCAGAGGGTCCGAGAAGAGCCGATTCAACTAGTGCAATGCTGGGGGAGAAAAACGCTCAGGCAAGCCGTACTCGGCCCACCGCTTGCGAAGCAACTCAGAGACTTCAGCCGACAGGGCAACCTTCGCCGGCCACACCCCACCCCGTTCGGCGGTCGATTTCGCGGTAGCATCAATCACCATCCGGCTCCCCACGCCCGGCAACCCCGCCGCATGATTCAACGGATGGGAAGCCGCATCCTCCACCCACACATCACGCCGCGGGTCGACCTGTGTGGCAACCGCATGCAGAACGCCAGTCGTGTCATGCACATCGACATCCTCGTCGACCAGCACCAGCATCTTCAGCCCCATCAGCCACGGCACATTCCACAACCCCCCAGCCACATTTCGGGCCTGCATCGGATACGCCTTCTTCATCGATGCCGCTGCAAAACTTCGCGCCGCATCGCCGTAGGGCAAGGCGATATCAACCACCTCGGGCACGGCCCTCTGTAGCAGCGGTAAGAACATCCGCGTAGCCACCCGCCCTAACACCGCCTGTTCGTTCTGCCTCGCGGTCGCATCTATGTTCACCGGCAAGATAGGCCCGTTGCGGTGGGTGATGGCCGAAACCTCCACGACCGGCTGGCCCAACAAATCGCGGTAATAGCCCGTCGCCGCCGTCGAGGTACTCGGCTGCTCGTGCTGAATCGCCGGATCAACCAGCCCCTCGATCACCATTTCGGCCTCGGCCGGCACTTCCAACCCATGCGTGCGGCAGCGAGCCAACTCACCCGGCTGACCCGTAAGATGCGAAGTCCAAGCCACCACGTCCCAATCAGCTTCGAACAGTGTCGCCGCTACGAGCGTGTGCGACGGATCGCCACCGAGCATCACCGCCACCGGCATGCTCTCGCCCCGGGCTTCACAGGCGGCCAAATCACGAGCAGCCGCCGAGAAGGAATGCCAAGACGGAGCCAACTGGCGCGGCCCAACCATTTGCAAGTTGCACCGCGTGACATGCCGCACGCCGGACTCAGGGTCGATCGTATAAACCAATCCTCCTACCAGCGACGGACCTGTCTCGCCAGCACTTTGCGCCACCAGCGGCCAGGTGCCTAAATCCACGTCGCTCCCCAATTGCACGATCTGCTGACAGGGAGCATTCCGAACCGATCGTGGTTGCGGCGGGGCCAAAGAATCACCCGAGTTGCCCCCACGCAACTTGCCCAACCACCCAGTCGCCGGTGTCTGTGCCGGCTGCCACAGGGAGGCCACCCGTTCTTGCAAGGCGGTTACACTCTCCGCCCCCATCGCCCGACACACCCGGTCCTCGCTACCCAGCAAGTTACTAACAATCGCCAGACGATGCCCACGAACCTTCTCGAAAAGCAACGCGGGCCCACCGCGGACGGCAACCTGCGTGGTGATGGCCGCGATCTCTTCGCTGGGGTCGACCTCAACCGGAATCCGTACCAGCTGGCCCGCTTCTTCGAGCGTCTCCAAAAAGTCGGCCAGAGCTTGCACGGTAATTGGGCCTCCATTCGCCGGTGTTTGAGTCACACTATGCGGCATTGTAGCCCCAACACCCGAACCGCGAAAACGCACATGCCGGCCGCTGGAGGGTCGCTTCGACAGCATCTATGCTGGTGGACTTCGTTTCTGAATCGCTCCAATCGCCTGCGTTGAGCCCCATTCCTCCTCGATCGAAAGCCCATCCATGATCGATGTTTGCCTGCTCCCCACTGTCGTTCAGCCCGAGGCCCTGGCCGGTCACACGGTGGTGGTGATCGATGTCCTCAGGGCAACCACCACCATGGCCCATGCGCTGACCGCCGGTGCGAAAGAGATCATTCCCTGCCTCGAAGTTGACGAAGCCCGCCAGCAGGCAGAAAAGCTCGGACGGGAGAATGTCCTTCTCGGTGGCGAACGCGGCGGGGTCCTCATCGAAGGCTTCGACCTGGGCAACTCACCTTGCGACTACACCCCCGAAACCGTCGGTGGACGTACGCAAGTCTTCACCACCACCAACGGCACGGCCGCTCTGTTGCGATGCCGTCAGGCTGAACGAATCGTGCTCGGCTCGCTCGTGAATCGCTCATCCGTAGCCGAGGCGGTGCAATCCGCGGAAAAGTTGACCATCGTTTGCGCCGGCACCCGCGGCCGCATCACGCGGGAAGACGTCTTCGCCGCCGGGGCCATCGTCAAACACCTCACCTCGCAGCCATCAAAACCACCCAATCTCTCCGCCACCGCCCGACTGGCCCAAGCCACCTGGCAAAGTGTTTCCGAACCCGGTCCCGCCTCGCTCCTCACCGCCATGCGCGAATCCCGCGGCGGCCGCGATCTGGTGCATTTGGGCCTCGACCGCGACATCGTCGATTCCTCCCAGGTCGATTCGCTATCAGTGGTGCCGCAATACGACGCAGCCGCAGGGGTAATTCGAACCGTCTAAATCTTGTTGACAAATGTCAACAAGATTCTATTCTTACTTTAATGGGGCCGGATCCCGTGAAAAAAGAAGTTCGCGAAGCGGTAGAGTACGCCCGGGGGCTGGGATACACGGTCATCGATCGTTCTGGCAGCGGGCATGTCGTTGCTTTGCTTCGCTGCCCACACGGATGTTGTCAAATCAGCGTGAACGGCACTCCGAGAAACCCCGGAACTCACGCCAAGCAGATCAAGAACAAAGTCGATCGATGCCCTGGCCGACAATCGGAGGAACTGGACGAATGACATTCGAATTCACCCTCCTGCTGGAAGGCACCTCCAAAGACTTTGAAACCACGGCCAATGCGATATACGACCTTTGCGACGATGCGTTGGTAGCCGAGTGCCGTGGCGTGACCTCGGTTGAGTTTTCCCGCGAGGCCCCCACATTCGAGAAGGCCCTGTTAAGCGCCTTAACCACGCTGATCGATCATGGGTTTAAGGTGTCGCGAATCGAGCCGAACGATTTGGTAGGTGAGACCGAAATCGCAAGGCGAATCGGACACTCCAGGCAAAGCGTTCACCAGTACGTTAACGGAGACCGTGGACCAGGGGCGTTTCCGCTACCCACAGCCGATGTGAGTGGCAGCCGCCCGTTGTGGCACTGGCATGAGGTGCTCGCCTGGCTAGTCCAGCACAGCATCTGGGGAGATCAGTCCGCGCTCGACACCGCCGAGTCGATCGCAATGGCCAATGCCGCGCTCGAACTTCTGCGACATCCCCAACACCAGCGGATTCTGGCAGCACTCAAAGAAAAAGCCGCTTAGCACCAGGTTCGATCACAGAATCCCCCACATCCATCTCATTCCAGAATCCCCATTAACTCCAACCCAGCACGGCTTGTCCGACTGAACCCGGCTCGATACACTTTAATGCTTGGCATTTATTCTCCGCCTAAAGAGGGGTGCGGGGCGATCTTACCGAGCATTCGGGGTCGAAGCTTCTTCCTGTAGAATTTTGGGCAATTTTGCCCGGCGTGGAGTCGGATCATGAAAGCGGAAATTCATCCCAAGTATTTCGAAACCAACGTCAAGTGCGGTTGTGGGAATACCTTCACCACCCGCAGCACGCAGGAAGAACTGCACGTCGATATTTGCAACGCCTGCCATCCCTTCTACACGGGCAAACTGAAGTTCGTCGACTCGGCCGGCCGTATCGAGAAGTTCAAGAACAAGTTCTCCGGCGGCAACTACGCCAGCCTGAAACGCGGCAAGAAGAAAGCCGAGACAAAAAGCGACGAATAGCTTCGCCTGCCCGAGAGCCTCGTTCTCTTGTCCCAATGGTGACGAGAGCGCGTAGGGTCACTATCCACGTCGGGCGTCTTCTTCACCTGGACACCCGTCGGGTGCCGTCGTGAGGAAAGGTCATGCGAAAGCAACTCGAAGAAAAACTCGCCCGCTTTGAAGAGCTTGAAGCTCAGCTCAACGATCCAGAAGTTCAGGCCGATGGTATGCGCATCGCCAACGTCGCCCGCGAACATGGCACGTTGGCCAAGCTGGCCACCAAGTATCGTCGCTTCAAGCAGCTAAACGCACAGGTAGCCGAGGCCATGGAAATGGTCGAAGGCGACGACGCCGACATGCGCGAGCTGGCCGAAGCCGAACTGCCCGAACTCCGCGAACAACGCGAAAAGCTCTGGGACGATCTGCTCGACTTGACCATCGGGGGCGAAGACGCCAACCGCACACGCATCATCGTAGAAATCCGCGCCGGCACCGGGGGCGACGAAGCCGCACTGTTCGCCCGCGATCTGTACGAGATGTATAAGAAGCTGGCTGAAACGCACAAATGGAAGGTCGAAGTGCTCGACACCAGCCCCACTGAACTCGGTGGGTTCAAAGAAATTGTGCTCGGTGTAGCCGGGGAAGACGTTTACCGGCTGCTGCAGTTCGAAAGCGGTGGGCACCGCGTGCAACGCGTTCCAGAAACCGAAACCAAGGGCCGCATTCATACCTCGGCCGCCACGGTTGCCGTAATGCCCGAGCCAGAAGACGTCGAAGTCGATCTCAAGGACGACGAATATCGGCTCGATCTGTTCTGTGCCAGTGGTCCCGGTGGTCAGCACGTGAACAAGACCACCTCGGCCGTGCGGCTCACCCACTTCGAAACCGGCATCGTCGTAAGCTGCCAGGACGAAAAGAGCCAGCACAAGAACAAAGCCAAGGCCATGCGGGTGCTCAAGAGCCGGTTGTACGAACACTATCGCGAGATCGAAGCCCAAAAACGCTCGGACGAACGCCGCACCAAAGTCGGTTCCGGCGACCGCAGCCAGCGGATTCGCACCTACAACTTCCCAGAAAACCGCATCACCGATCACCGCATCAACTTCACCCTCTACAAGCTCGACAGCGTCCTGGCGGGCGGTCTCGACCCGGTGATCGAGGCGTTGATCGATCACGAACGCCAAGAACTTCGCGACTCCATGGGAACGATCGAGTAAGCATTTCCTCTGGCGACGGACCGCCGGCTCGCCGACCACCGCACTCTCACCGGGCGACACGCAATGGAACCCACCGCACCCGACGTTTGGACGATCGGTCGGCTCCTGCAGTGGACGGCCGGTTACCTGGGCGAAAACCACTCCGACACGCCCCGGCTCGATGCCGAACTTCTGCTTGCCCAAGCCTTGGGCTGCCAACGCATCGAACTCTATACAGCCTTCGAAAACGTCCCCACCGAAGAGCAACGCACGGCGTTCCGCTCGCTCGTGAAACGCCGCGCCGCCGGAACCCCGGTTGCCTATCTGTTGGGGCACCGCGAGTTTTACTCGCTCGATTTCCAAGTCACGCCCGACGTGCTAATCCCTCGTCCCGAGACCGAGTTCCTGGTCATCGCCACGCTCGACAAACTACGCGAGCGAGGGGATCACGCAGCTCCGGCCGACGTCGTCGATATTGGCACCGGCAGCGGGGCGGTCGCCATTTCCCTGGCGAAGCACTCGCCGGAAGCCAACTTCACGGCCATCGACATCTCGCCCAAAGCCCTCGAGGTGGCCCAAGCCAACGCCGCCGTGCACGAGGTTGACGAGCGGATAAACTTCCTGGAAGGCGATCTACTCACAGGGCTCGACGAGTCGCCCCAGTTCGATTTCGTCGTGAGCAACCCGCCATACATCTCAACCTCAGAGATGGCCGAACTCCCCGTCGAGGTGGCCGACTACGAACCGCACTTGGCCCTCGAAGCCGGTCCCGACGGCACCGACGTGATCCAGCGTCTCATCCCCCAGGCAACCACCAGACTCCGCCCCGGCGGATACCTCTTCATCGAGATCAGCCCCATGATCGAAGCCCGCGTCCGTGAGCTACTCGGTAGCGAAGCCGATCTCGAACTCCTCCCCACCGTCAAAGACCTCGCCGGCCACGCCCGTATCGTCGGAGCCCGCCGACGCTAGCAGTGACCAATTCTGGTCGATGGCAGTGGGTGCCCCCGCTTCTCGAAGCGGGGTCGCCGCAGGCGACAAGAGGCCCTCAGCAAACGGCTTTCCCCGCCAGGCACCTCTCTTCTTGCACTGAATTCTCTCCACCCAACACTCACACCTTCGCCCACCACTCCGATTGAGATTCTCACACACAGCCCAATCTGGGATGATGCCACCATAGACTGCCGCTATCATCTCTCCACCTGAGAAGAGCTTTGCGCACGATCCCCAATCGAGCCTCGAATCAACACCTCGTCATCCGCGGGGGAAATCCGCTCCACGGCAGCGTCGAGGTCGCCGGTTCGAAGAACGCCAGCCTTCCCATCATGGCCGCCGCGATTCTGGCCCAAGGTCGCGTCTCACTGCAAGACGTTCCCCATCTGCAAGACGTAAGGACGATGGCCCAAACCTTACGCGCCTTGGGCCTTCACGTTCGCCACGACGCAGACGGCCAACTCGAACTGGAAACCATCGCTCCGAACCAAATCACCGCTCCCGAATCGCTCGTCTCGCAAATGAGGGCCAGCTTCTGTGTGCTAGGCCCCTTGCTGGCCACGCGGGGACGAGCGGTGGTGGCACTGCCCGGCGGATGCGCCATCGGTCGGCGCCCCGTCGATCTCCATCTGCAAGGCCTGGCCAAACTGGGCGCCGAGTTCGAAGCTCGCGACGGATACGTCATAGCCCGAGCCCCGCGACTAAAAGGCACCACCATCAACTTGCTGGGGCCCCATGGTCCCACCGTCACTGGCACCGCCAACGTGCTTTGTGCCGCCACACTCGCAAAAGGCACCACGATAATCAAAGGGGCCGCCCGCGAGCCGGAAGTTGTCGAACTCGGTCACTTCCTCCAGTCCATGGGCGCCCGCATCACAGGGCTAGGCACTTCACGGCTTACTATTGACGGTGTCGAAAGCCTCGCCGGCACCCGCCACACCCTGTGCGGCGATCGCATCGAAGCCTGCACCTATTTATTGGCGGCCGCCATAACCCGCGGGGACGTCACTGTGCGGGGCATCGACCCCAATCACATCACCAGTCTGTTGGAAATTCTCCAGCAAGCCGGCCATACGGTGATCACCCAACAACAATCCGTTCGTTTGATCGCCACTCCGCGCCCTCGCCCCATCACCACTTCGGCCGAACCCTACCCCGGCGTCCCCACCGACGTGCAACCGCTGCTGGCCGCCTGCGCCGCAATCACGGCCGGGCAAAGTCGAATCACCGATCACGTGTTCCCCGAACGTTTCCGCTACGCCGTGCAGTTGACGCGGATGGGGGCCAAACTTTCCCGCAGCGGTTCAACGCTCATCATCCAAGGCCGACGGTCGCTGGAAGGTGCCGTCATCGACGCCCAAGATCTACGGGGAGGCGCCGCACTCGTCCTTGCCGCACTGGCGGGTCGCGGCGAAACAATCGTCCGCGGGCTGCAACACCTCGACCGGGGCTACGAGCAACTGGAACGCAAACTCTCCGCCCTGGGGGCCAGCATTCATCGCGTGGACGCTCAATTTCCCAGTTCGCGAAAGCCCATTCCGCCAGCGGAATACACCTCCGGCCCGCCTGCGTTGTCAGTCGCCACACGTCGAGCCTAGAATTAGGGGTGGTGGAACCGCTCGTCTTCACACGCTCGATTCGCTTTCCCAACTCCGATCATGCCCCAACTCACGCCACTGGCCGACCATTACGAAGCAACGCGGGAAATCCTCGCCCAGCGGTTGCCGTGGAGCCCTTTGGCATACGTCCCTGGGGTGAATGCCGCCGGCGATCGTCAGCGATACGCCGAAGAACTCACCGGCCGGGTCAAGCCTGAGAACGATATGCGATTCATCCACGAGTCGCCCTCGGGGCAACGCCAAGCCATTTTCGCCCAGCGTTTGCCGTGGGACTCCGACTTCTTCGGCTACGACGTGGCCCGGCTCGATGGCATCTTCCCACTGGACGAACCGTTCAATCAACAAGCCATCGATGTGAACCGCTCGCTAGAGTTGCTCGTCGAAGAAGCTCGACGTCGCGGAATCAAGTATCTCTTCGCCCCGGTCGATCCTCGCGATCTGTCGCAACTAAGGGCGTTAGGCGATCAGCAATTCACCCTGCTCGAAACCCGCATCCACTACCACTTCAATGTGCAGATCGTGCATTACGTCCGCTTGCCCGATCATGCCCCCGACGTCTGGACGCGGTTCCGCGAAGCCACCGAAGAAGACATCCCCTCGCTGGCCCAAGTGGCCCGCGACTCGGTAAACCCCTACGATCGCTTCCACGGCGACCCGTTCTTCAACCGCGAAGACGTCGATCGCCTGATGACGCGTTGGGTCGAAGAGTCGGTCCGCAAGAACTTTGCCGACCTAACAGTGGTGCCCGATGTCGATCAGCCGAAAGCGTTCATCACTTACCGCTTTCATAAAGATAAATGGGATCGCTGGGGCATGAACCTGGTACAGCCGGTGCTCTCGGCCGTCGATCCCGAATACCTGGGCTGGTTCACGGTCGTCGGGCCGCTGCTGAATCAGCATCTCCGCGAACAGGGAGCCCAATACGCGTTCGGCAAAACTCAAATCACGCTCGGGCTCGACGCCACTGTGCATTTCGGTAAAGGGGAGCACATCTTCCGCAGAGTGCTCTAACCTCCTGGCGCACCCAAGTTCGAATCCCTCACACACCAACCCCACGCGCGACAACCAACTTCATATCTCCTTCGCGCGGCGATCATCCATACCATGAAGCTTTTTGCGATCAGCGACCTGCACCTGAATCACAAGGTGAACCGTCAGGCACTCGAAGCATTACCACCCCAGCACGACGATTGGCTCATCATCGCTGGCGATGTGGGCGAAAAGCCCGATCACCTCGAGTTCGCCCTTCGCACGCTATTGCCGCGCTTTCGCCAAATCATTTGGGTCCCGGGCAATCACGATCTGTGGACACTGCCCAACGACAAGGACGGGCTGCGCGGCGAACATCGCTATCTGCAGCTTGTCTCTATTTGCCGCAAGTACCGCGTGACAACTCCGGAAGACCCTTACCCAATCTGGAATGGCGAAGGGCTGCAGTGCACGATTGCCCCTTTGTTCTTGCTGTACGACTACACATTCCGCCCAGACGACGTGGCTGAAGACAAAGCCGTCGATTGGGCCATGGAATCGGGAATCTTATGTGCCGACGAAGCTTACCTGCACCCCGACCCTTATGAGTCCCGCACCGATTGGTGCGAGGCCCGCTGTCGCATCACTGCCCGACGCCTAGCTGATACCGATCCTACGCTGCCACTGATACTGGTGAATCACTTCCCCCTGCGATACGACGTAGTGCGCTTACCTGCCATACCTCGCTTCTCTATTTGGTGTGGAACCAAGCGTACCGAAAATTGGCATCAACGTTATCGAGCGGCCGTCGTCGTTTCAGGGCACCTTCATGTGCGAGGAACTATGTTCCGTGATGGGGTGCGATTCGAAGAAGTATCGCTCGGCTACCCTAAGCAGTGGCACCCCGAACGAGGCATGCAACCGTACCTTCGAGAAATCCTTCCCGGCCCTCCCACGGTCGCTGTGTAGAGCCCATTCTGCACGTCCTCCTGGCCCGAGATATTCCCTAAATTCTGTGGTCAGCAACCAACTCCTGCACGGTTGTCAACGCCAAATGCGCACCACGGAATGCTCACGTCTCGCAGTTGCACAATCGCTATTTCGGTTCCTGCCCCAACCTTTTATTATTTCGATGTGCTTGGGCGGAGCGCGACATGGACGTTTACCGATTTGCCACCGGCACTAAGGAAAGCAAGGCTAAAGTAGAGGTTCTTCTAATGCCGAGTCGAATAAGGCGGGGCGAACCGAATACTTCAGCCGCGGGAAGGAAGATCGATGCTCAGTGCAAAGGACGTGATGGTCTCTCCTGTCATCACGGTTACCCCGGATGAAACGGTCGAGCAAGTTGCTCAAAAAATCGTTACTCATCACATCGGCGGCATGCCCGTCGTCGACCAGGGCGGCAAACTCCTCGGCATGGTTACCGAGAGGGCTCTGCTCCACATGGTTCACGACCAATCGGTGTCGCAAGGTGTGGTCGCCGACTACATGACGAAGAACGTCGTGTCGGTCGATGCCGATCAAACCATCAGCGAAGCCGTCACGCAGATTGTTGACCACGGCATCACTCGCCTTCCGGTCACCTGCGAAGGCAATGTGGTGGGCATGATCAGCCGCCGCGAAGTACTACGTCGGGCCTGCGAAGAACTCACCCATCGCAGCCAACGCGACTGGCTTCGCAAGCTGCAGGCTGTGTAGTCACGCCACAGATTCCACCGGTTAACTTCCCCGATAGATGGGCAGGTGCATTGGATTGCGGCTGCTGGTCATCGGTGCGTCCCCGGTGTCGTCATTCAGCGCGGCGTACATCATCTGATACTTCGCGTCGATGTCGTCGGCGTAGTGCACCAATAGCGCCTCGGGCGTCATTGGGGGTTTGGGCGAACCCCATTCCGGCAAACGCTGGTGTGACACGATGATGTGCTCGAGCCGCAGCATGGTTTCAGGGTCGATCTCCCGCCCCACGGCCGCCTCGCGCACCATGTCTCTTCCCTGCAGAATATGCCCCAGCAAGCGCCCCTCAGGCGTGTACTCGCTCCCCGTCGGGTTCTGCTGCAGCTCGCGCAGCTTTCCGATGTCGTGCAGAATCGCCCCCGCCACGACCAGCGACTTACTCAGCGGTGGTCGCATGTCGGGATACCGCTCGGCGTAAGTGTCGGCCAACCACACACTAGTTCGGGTCACGTTCAGCACATGCTCCAGAAACCCACCCACAAAGGCGTGATGGTTTCTCGTAGCTGCCGGCCAGTTCAATAACGGTGCGCGATGTTCGTTCAGCAAGTCGACCACCAGGCCCCGCAGCGCCTCGTCTTCAATCCGCTCGCCGGCAATGGACAACAGTTCGTTGAACGCCTCCAGCGAATCGAACTGCGAACGCGGCAGAAACATCGCCGGGTCGTAACCCTCAGCCGCGTCGCTCTCGGTGGCCTCGCGAATGCGACGGATGTCCAACTGGGGGCCGAAGTTCGTCTCACGGTACGTCGCCCGTAGTTTGTAGCAGGTGCCGGGCGTCCACTCGTTGCGGCACGCCTCGGCCAGGGCCGAATCATTCCACACCGGGAAGTTCACCTCACGCGTCGCATCGCGAAACCCCACGCGAAAGTAAGGCTTCCCGTCCTTGGTTTTCAGTTCATCTTTCGACACCAACAGGGCAAAGAAGTCGGCCTCCTGACCATCAACCAATTCGCCCAAGGTCTCGATCTGCCCCAGCGGCAATTCCTGTTGTTCTTTTGCCGACATCGAACCGCCCTCCCAACTCAATCAACCCCACACCGTCGTGGGTCACGTCTACCTCTGCACCGAGTTTACCGCCTCGCGCGGCCGAATTGAACGCACCGAGCCGCGAAGAACCCGAATGATTTCAGCCGCTTGGCCCACGAAGTCGATTTCAGACAAGAGGGGCACCCATCCCCGTGGCCCACTTACCCAACCGCAACGCTCCACCATGGCACCCAAACCCAGACAACCGGTACGACCGAAAAAGCTTGGGGTGAAGAAGAAACGGCCCGCCCGGCGGATGATCGCCGTCTGGATCGATGGGTTTAGCGACTACCTGCGCAGCGAATGCCACCTGGCCGAGAATACCACGGTGGCTTACGGGCGCGACATGCGGCGTTTCGAACAGTGGCTCGGCACCCGCGATGTGCGGCAACTCACCATTCAAGACCTGGCCGACTACGCCGGCTGGCTGCAAGGCGAAGGTCTGGCCCCCGCCTCGTTGGCCCGGCATGTCGTGTCACTGAAAATGTTCTTCCGCTTCCTGCAGTTGGAAGGCATTCTGGACGAGAACCTCGTCGAGTTGTTAGGCAGCCAGAAGCTGTGGCAACGTGTGCCTCACGTGCTCACGCCGCAGATGGTCAGCCGGTTGCTCTCCGCTCCCGGCGAAAGCGACCGCTACTGGCGGCGAGATCGAGCGCTGTTAGAACTGCTCTACGCCACCGGATGTCGAGCCTCCGAGCTTTCGGCCCTGGGCGTGCGCGATACGCATCTCTCCGAGGGCTACTGCCTGTGCCATGGGAAAGGCGACAAGCAGCGCATCGTCCCCCTGGGCAAACGGGCCGTCGCGGCGGTGCGTGAATACCTAAAAGAAGAACGCCCCCAGTTAGCCGCCGCAGCAGCGAGTTCCCCACCCTGGCTGATCCTTTCCCGCCGTGGGAGAAGATTGCGCCGCGAGATGATCTGGGAGTTACTGAAGAAGTATGCCCGACGCGTGGGGGCGCCTTCGAGTGTAAGCCCACATACGATGCGGCACAGTTTCGCCACCCATCTTCTGGCCGGAGGGGCCGATCTGCGACAAGTGCAGGAAATGCTGGGACACGCCAACATCAGCACCACGCAAATCTACACCCACGTCGATCCGACGCGGCTCAAAAAGATCCACCGGCAGTTCCATCCGCGTGGATAACTGAAAGCAGGGCGGCTAACCCGGCGGGCGGGGCGGGGCGAACTTGATCTTCTCGACCAGCGGTTGAATCTGACCCTGATCATCGAAGTAACCGCTGATGGCCGTGATGGCCATGATCACATACCGGTAGTCGAGCCCGTAGTCGCAATCGAGTTCCACTTCGACTTCGCTGCCAGCGCCCCCGGGCCCGGTGGCCCCGCCAACGATGTTCATGATTTGATCGTGCAGTTGCTGCATGCCGGCCAAGGGGGCTTCCCCCATCGACATCGCGGCCAGCGACCCGTCGGCGTTGGCCTGCATGCGAACCTTGATCGGCGGAATCAGCGGCGGCGGGGCAACTTCCGACTCGGCCGCCAGCGGCATATTGATGTTGAAGTCGCCTTCGAGGGCCACGATCTTGAACGTCATGATGAAGAAGATCAGCAGTTGAAAGACGATGTCGATCATCGCCGTCATCTGCAACTCGATCTTATCATCACGAGCTTCGGTGTTACGAATGCGCATGGACGAACAACTCCGGGCCTAAGTGTCGGCTTCTTCTTGCTTGGCCCGTAGGCTGAACTTCTCGAACTGCTTTTCCTGACACGCCTTGATCACTTCCTGCACCACGCCCGTCTTCACGGTGGCATCGGCCCGAATGATCACGGTCGCCTCTGACGGCGAGCGATTCAGGCTTTCCAACAGTTGCACTTCGCGCAACAGATACGGTTCGATGCCCCCCACGGGCACCTCTTCGCCGGCAAAGAGCACGGTGCCATCTTTGGTGAGTTGAATCGTCAAAGGGCTTTCCGGCGGAGCTTCCGGCGGGGTGGCCAGCGCGCTTAGTGGCAGCGTAATCCGCTCGTTCTGCTCGGCTTCGGTGAAGTTGATCAGCACCATGAAGAACGCGATCAACTGAAACGTCATGTCGATCATCGGCGTCATGTCCGCTTCAGCCGCTTGCATCTCTTTGCGTCGACGAAGTCTCACGGTATTGTCTCTTCAGAGCAGGGGGGTAGGTACCAAGGCGACACAATCAGGGCGAACTAGCTGGGCGTCTTCTTCTGGAACCGGCTCATCAGCCCCTCGCTGACAATGCCCACTTCCAGCACCAGTCGCGAGACCCAGTTACGCATGATTCCATAAAAGGCAATCGCCGGGATTGCCAGCAACAGGCCCAACGCCGTAGTGACCAGGGCCGTGGAAATACCGGCGGCCAATTCCGAGGGTTTCGGCTGCCCAGGGCTGGTGGCAATCACGATGAACGCGCTGATCATACCTTGCACCGTACCCAGCAGACCGACCATCGGGCTGATCGTGCCCACCAATGCCACGTAGCTCAGTCGGTGTTCGAGCTTCATGTTCTCGTCTTCGCCCACTTCCTGCATGGCTTCGATCGCCTGCGGATAGCCCGACGACAACTTGGCCAACCCGGCGGCCAGCACATGGCCCAAAAACGAATCGTCGTTCTTAGCCGTCTCGTAAGCTTCCTGGTACTTCTTCTCTTTTAGCTGGGCCTCGAACGTATCGACCAACGACTGCGGGGCGATCGACTCGCGACGGGCCGAGAGAATGTTCATCACAATCAGCGCCACCAGCGTGAACGAGAGGCCCAAGAACACCAGGCTGTAACCAATCCCCAACGATTGAATCAACCAAGAAAGTCGGCTCTGACGCTCGGGTGCAGCTGCTCCGGCCGGTGCGTTCCCGGCGGGTGCATTGGCAGCAGCATCACCGGCAGCATCGGCTTGCGGTGCCGGCTCTTCCTCGAGAAGCTCGACTTCCCCGACCTCCTCGTCCTGAGCGTAAGCCGCTGACGATTGCACCAGGGTCAACCCGCTGAACACCGCGGCCATCACGGCAAGACCCAACAGCATACCCCACGAACGCCGGAGCAACTCGAACGAACCGCACCGATGAGCCATTGAAGTCTCCATTTATATCTGCAGGTTGAACGTTGTTTGTGATGGAAGTTGGTAGTTTAGTTGCACCGCCGTGCATCGTAAAGCTAACGCAACAAACGGTAATGTGCTAAGAGTGAGTTGCGGATGATTCTCCGTTTTCTTCGGCCCATTTGAGAAACAGT